GCATCTTCTGGAAGTGTTCTTTGAGTTATCTGATCTGGTTTGGCAGAACCAATCATTGAATTTGGAAGATAGATGTGTTCATAGCATCTTCTGGAAGTGTTCTTTGAGTTATCTGATCTGGTTTGGCAGAACCAATCATTGAATTCGGAAAATGAATGTGTTCATAGCATCTTCTGGAAGTGTTCTTTGAGTTATCTGATCTGATTCAGTAGGAACCAGAACCGATCGTTGGAATTAAAAGATGAACTGCATGATTATCTTCATTAAGAAGCTTCTTTTCAAGCTTCCTCTGCTTCTTCCTTTTCAAAAATCATAGCCCAAGTTTTGCCTTTGCTTGTAATTGGGATCATTGCATAATGACTTCCTATTTTTTACCAGAAGAAGTGCATCAGCAGCCTTAGTCATTTGAGCGGCACATATAAAATTTGCCAATTCTGCAATTGATGAATCTGGACCACGTTTCTCCAGGTCTATTTGAAGTTTCAGCCTCTGAGAATCCCATTTTTGTCAAGTATAACAGTTTATTCTCCTCATCAGAATCAGAATTCAAGATTTCTCGGTATTAGAAGAACTATCGATATCTGTGAAATCATCTTGAAAGGTCACTTCATAATCAGATGAGTTGTTATCAGAATCAACATGTTGCCTGAATGCAAGCTTTTCAAGAGCCTATACTATTGAGTTTTATTCTCAAGAGATTTTTGTGACATTATATCTACATTGGTCAAAGATGATAGATTCTTTCATTTGAAGAAGAAAAATCTATTGGGTTTTTACAATTGAAGAAATACTCAATTCACCAATCTGAAATCAAATAACTCAACATTCATGCATCATATTTTAGGTGTTTACAAAAATAGGTGCATTTTCATTCATTTTCATCTATGTTGAATTTTTAACAGGAATTTCAAAGATTTTAGCAAAGATTCAAATCCATCACTTGATGGATCAACATTGCCAGAGAAGTTCATAATGAGAAGAACTCATCTGAAGAAGGAAGAAGAAGTTCATAATGAGAAGAACTTGTTCAACTTTTTGTTTGAATTCATCATTTGATGGATCAACATTGCCAGAGAAGTTCATAATGAGAAGAACTCATCTGAAGAAGGAAGAAGAAGTTCATAATGAGAAGAACTTGTTCAACTTTTTGTTTGAATTCATCACTTGATGGATTATTTTTGCCAGAGAAGGTTCATAATGAGAAGAACTCATCTGAAGAAGGAAGAAGAAGTTCATAATGAGAAGAATTTGTTCAACCTTTTGTCTGAATTCATCATCTGAAGAAGGAAGAAGAAGTTCATAATGAGAAGAACTTGTTCAACTTTTTGTTTAAATTCATCACTTGATGGATTATTTTTGCCAGAGAAGGTTCATAATGAGAAGAACTCATCTGAAGAAGGAAGAAGAAGTTCATAATGAGAAGAATTTGTTCAACCTTTTGTCTGAATTCATCATCTGAAGAAGGAAGAAGAAATTCATAATGAGAAGAATTTGTTCAACCTTTTGTCTGAATTCATCACTTGATGGATTATTTTTGCCAGAGAAAGTTCATAATGAGAAGAACTCATCTGAAGAAGGAAGAAGAAGTTCATAATGAGAAGAATTTGTTCAACCTTTTGTCTGAATTCATCATCTGAAGAAGGAAGAAGAAATTCATAATGAGAAGAATTTGTTCAACCTTTTGTCTGAATTCATCACTTGATGGATGATTTTTTCCAGAGAAAGTTCATAATGAGAAGAACTCATCTGAAGAAGGAAGAAGAAGTTCATAATGAGAAGAATTTGTTCAACCTTTTGTCTAAATTCATCATCTGAAGAATGAAGAAGTTCATAATGAGAAGAATTTGTTCAACCTTTTTTCTGAATTCATCACTTGATGGATTATTTTTGCCAGAGAAAGTTCATAATGAGAAGAACTCATCTGAAGAAGGAAGAAGAAGTTCATAATGAGAAAAATTTGTTCAACCTTTTTGATCAAATCTATTACTTGATGGGTTATTTTTTTCAGAGAAAGTTCATAATGAGAAGAAATCATCTGAAGAAAGAAGAGAAAGTTCATAATGAGAAGAACTCATCAAAAGCTTATTCAACCTTTTGAATGACTCTATCACAGAAAAAAGGAGGTCATCATCATCCCCAGCAGAAAGTTCATAATGAGAAGAATTCATCTGGAGAGAGAGAAGAATTTATTCAATATTTCCATTATAATCAAGTGAAGCCAAATGGATAAAAAATTTTATTATCTTTTCATCTTTGCTCTATTCTTGTTAACACAAGAATGAACAAAGAGGGGCAGCTGAAGATACTAATTTTTTACCCATATTATTATTATTATTATTATTATTATTATTATTATTATTATTATTATTATCATTATTATTATTATTAAATATATATTAAACATATATATATAAATAATAATTACAGACCAATTACAACTGGACCGGCCCAGTTACAAACAAACCAGAACCGGTCCAAATCAAACCAGAAACCCTAAACATTTGGGTTTCCAGTTAGGGTTTTCTAACCCTAATCTAAACCAGCCGCCATCTTCAATCCCAGCCGTTGGATCTGGTTTGATCCAACGGTCCACAGTTTGCCAGAGGAAACCCTAGGGTATCTATACCCTAGGGACACGTCCCAGCGCCGCCGCTGCTGCTTCCAGAAGCCTTCACCGCCACACCAACGTTCCAGCCTCCACCACGTCTACCAAAGAATCCAGAAGGCCGGCCGTAGCCGCACACGTCTCCCCCAAACGGTGAGTCACCACTGGGAGTCCGGTGACTCACCAAAGGGCATTCTTCGGACCGGTCTGACGGCTACAACGGTGGTGGCTATAAAAACCACCACCCCAACCTGAAAAAAAAAAAGACACACAGAACCGGAGAGAAAGAAAAAAAACAGAGAAAGAAAAAAAAACAACTAAACCAACGATCTCAGTCAGCATCAACGCAGCAAGAAAAAAAAGAGAGAAGAGAGGAAAGAAGCTTACCCTATCATCGGAGAACCCCAACCGTCGCCGGATACAACAAAAACCGAAGGTATATTTGTAGATCTGCTCCGATTGGGAGCTTTTTAAGGAAAAAGAACCCCGGAAACGGTTTTAGACCGTCCCGATCTATATTCTGGTAGATTTTTGTAATTTCCGGCCACCATTAACGGTGGCCGGCAGCGGTGGTCAGAGCCGATAGCGGTGGCTGACCGGAAAGGCTTCTCTCAGTTTAGAGAGAAGCCAGAGAATTCTTCTCTCTGTTTGAGAGAAAGAAAAAAAGAAAAAAAAGAAATGAGATAGCTGGCCCTTCGGGCCAGCCGGTTTGGACCATATATAGTCCTTCCCAAACGACGTCGTTTCGGGAAGGACTATGCGCGTAATTATAAAATAGTTAAACCCCGTCCGCAGTCCTCCGAAATTGTAAACTTTACATTTTAGTCACTAAATTGAATTTATAATAATTTTAATTCAGTCTTCGAATTTTAATTTTATTTATTTAAGTCCTTTTTATTAAAATAATATATTTAGGATAAATAACAGATTTAATCCCTCAATTTTAATAAATAATATTTTAATCCTTAGTTTATATTTTTAATTTATTTTATTATAATACCCGAATTTTAGATAATTTTATTTTAGTCACTAAATTATTAAATAAGAAAATAGCATATTTAATCTCTATAATTTTGGTTAATTATGAATTAGATTTTTAATTTTATTTTTACTGTAATTTAGTCAGTTATTTTATATGTTTGCATTTATTTTATTTAAATATATTGTTTTAGTAGTATGTTTATTATATGAATAAATATTTTTATATATTCATATATATATAATAAATAGTAATTTTTAAATATTTATTTTAATATCGAAGAAAAGGACAGTCTCAAAACAACTGGATGTCCTATTCTGATGTTTTAAAATTAAAAATTAAAACAATATTATTTATCAATATCAAAGAAAAGAGCTGTCTTAAGGCACCTAGAAGTTCTTTTCTGATATTTTTAAATAAATAAATATTTTTTTATATAATTTTGAAATAATAAGATTATAAATTAAATATATTTTTGAATTTTTAAATTTTAATAATAAGAGACAATTTATAATTAAAAAGTACCAATTTTGGGCGTTGTAGGGGTGCTAATCCTTCCCTAAACGTAACCGACCACGAATCCCTTTTTATTAAAAAGAATGAATTTTTGGTTATAAAACGTAGATCAGTTCATTTTTTATTAGTGTTTTCTTAAAACTCTTTTAAAAAATAATTTTTAGGTATTCGACCTACCTGACCCAAAAGGCCGATGGCGACTCCCAAATTATTTATTTTCAAAATTATTTATTCACATCAATTTTCCCGCCAAATTTAAAATTTCGTGCCCGGACGAAAACCGGTTACGACAACCGCTACATAGCAGATTTATTATATAGTTTGAGATTCACAAAATCAGTTAAGAACTCGGATCACATTACGTGTCTATTCAACCTTCGAAGTAAAAAAAATCAACACTTTATTTGTAAAATTTCTCCTAGCAAAATTTCAAAAAATATAACAACTCAATTTATAAAACTTAATTAAATTACCAACCAAAAAATTGAGATACTTTTTGGTATTTCGACGGTTAAGGGTTTTTTTTACGATGCCTCCCTTTCTTATAAATAAATAAATAAGTAAAACTTAATTAAAATAAAAATTTCCTGTCACAAATCTAACAAAAAGATGGGTACAAAATGCTTTAGTTTTCACGTTCATTCTATGTTAATTTCCTTGAAGCCAAACAGATAATACTAAGCAATACTAAAAAGCAATCAATACATAAAATCTTCCGATCTCGATTCTCGAACACGTAACCTGAACGAATTGACAATGCAAATAAACTTGATTTTCACGCAATCAATGATTCGAATGCGGACCAAAATAGAATGATATTTCAATTAAAGAATACAAAATTCTTTCAAACAACAGCAAAGAAACAAAAGCGAGTTAAAAAGAAGCAATCTAGAAAGAAACCTGAAGTGAATTGTAGATAAACGGAAGCGAAAAGCAGTAGGAAACGAACCGATCTACTCCTTGAAATTTCAGCCATTCTATCAATCTCTCTTTCCCGCGGCAGAGAAAGAGGAATCGGTCTTTTCCTCTAGTTACAATCTTCCAAATTCTCTGACAAAAGGCCGATTTTTGCAATGTTGTCAGACCCTATATATTATTAAAACTAGGGTAAACTATATGTTTAGTATCTCAACTATCATTTTTGTTTTATTTTAGTCATCCAATTACTATTTTGTGTAAAATCATTTCCGTACCTTATCCCTCTAACTGGTATCAACCCTGGTGTTTTCGATCTTTGGAATAACAATATACAAGTATTATTGTAAATTATATCTTTATCTTATACTCTGTTTATTTTATTATTTTATCTTAAAATTCATATATATGTTATTCTGTTTTACTTTTTTCTTAGTCCGGTAAAGTGAAGTTTAGGCTTTGTTATTATAAAGCTTGTGATTTTCACAAATAACGAAAGATTTTAGGTAATGATGCTAAAATCATGGAAGAAACAAACAGTTTGTTTAAAGATAAAAATTACAAGCATACTATGCATATAGACTCTAAGAACAAAAATAATATTACTTATGTTAGTAAAGGTTTTAATAGTTTAATAATTATGACCTCTATATATTTTAGTAAGATGTATAATAAAGTTAATAAAATTTAACAAAAAATTAATAATCTTGGATAGGTAACTGAATTATATCTAAATGGTGAATCTAAAAAATTATTATTTCATATTAATAATAAATTATATCAAGTTGTGATATCTTCTAAAAAAGAAAATGATATAAATTTAGGTCCTTTATATTATAAAAATGGAAACATTATATTAGTATTATCAGATGAAGAATAAACATTATCTGAAGGTTCATCTAAAAAGGATAAACTTAAGAAAAAACAAAAGAGGTTTATACCTCAACAAAAATATGATTTTCAATCTTATAAGGAATTAATAGAATATTATAAATTAAAAATTTTCACTACTAAGGATAATAATGAAAAAGTAAAATATTTAAAATTAATAGAAAAAAAAATTATGAAGAACATAAAAAATTATTTGCTTTGTTTAAACTATCATTATATGTTAAATTACGATACTATAGACAGTAATACTAGTTCTGAAAATAATTCAGAATATATAAAAGCTATAAATGTTTCAGAAACAACTGAAATAGATACAACTGATGAAGATAACAACTCTTCAATAGATGAAAATATTAATAATCCAGATCCTATGGAAATAGATCAAACAGATCCATATCCAAATAGAAAAAGAAAATTATATCATGATCCTTTTGAAGACAATTATTTAAGGTCTTTTAATCGAGAAAACGATAGAGACCAAAATACTACTAGGTTAATAGGAGATCAAGTAGAAAATATTTACACTAATGAAGTCAAAATTGAACAAATAGGAGAAACTTCACAACCAGATCCTTATAGTGTAGAAAATCTTAATAAAAAAAATGTTGCTCAAAGAGGAATATATCTAAACTTAACTAATATTCCTATATCAGACTACAAAAAAAATTATAGATGATTGGGCACAGTCTATGACAATTGATGTAAACAACAATAATTGGTCAAATGAAAGATTTTTAAATTATTTTGTTAGAACTTTTCAATAAGATTTTTACAATTTCTTCGTAGATGGGAAAAATCAACAATATGTATGGAGCAAAAAGGACGATTAATTAATCAAATTTAAACACCTAAAGTTGTTTTAAAAGGATTAACACAAATTCTAAAAACATAATTTTGTGGTTATACTGATAAGCAAGATCAAGACGGTCAAGCTAATTATATTTTATCAAAAATAAAATTATGTAATATAAGATATTTAGAAGAATTTTCTTAAAAATTCTTCTTGAATATCAAAAATTAAAAAATGAAAAAAATAGAATTTTGAAGAAAAAAAAATATTTCATAAATTACCACCACCATGAGATGAGCTTTGTATAAACAAATACGAATCTCATCTTAAAAACATAGTAGATTATCTGGTGTAGAAATTAGTGGAATATATTCTATAGGAAATAAAATTAATTTTGCTAGAGAAAAAATAACTAAATATTGTCTACCTACTAAAGCCACTAAACAAGTGAAAAATAAATTAAGTGGTAGACATTATACAAAAAGTTTAGAAAATGAATGAGAATTTGAATGTAAACAAATACATTCAAATAGAAAAAACTAAAAAGAAAAAAAATATAAATTAGTTAGATAGAGACCTTGAAAACAAATATAGATATCCATATAACAAATAACATAAAAGAAAATTTATTAGAAGAAAAACTTCTAAAAATACTAAAAATAAAAAATTTAATTATAAATATTTTATTTGTGAGAAAGAAGGTCACATAGCAACAAATTGTCCTAACAAAGGTAAACATGCTAAAAAAATGATAAAAACACTTGAAGAACAAGAGTTAGAAATTTGTTCAGAAAAGGAAACAAATCCTGATGAAATATTATACGAATTAATATCAGAAACAAAATCTGATAGTGATGAAGATGAGTTCATATTTATGTTAGGTAACAATTCTAATAATCAATTAGAAGAAATGCCTAATAATAAGCATAAAGCAATAAAATTAGGTAGTATCTTTGGAGAAGAAAAAGATCTTTCTGAAGAAATGATAAAATAAATAAATAAAAATAAAATTTCTAAAGAAGAAATATATAAAATATCAAAATTTAAAAATTTGGAGTCAAAGGAAGATCGAAAAAAATCAGTGAAAATACCGTAACCAAAGACACAAAATGAGGATTAATCGAAATCTCACTATTTACCAAAAAAAATAAAAGAATTAGGCATAAATATCCACAAATTATGTATATTCATTTAGGAGTAATTATGATAACCAAAAGAACTTTATCTAGGAAGAGTCATGATGTATTAATATTATTCGTATTGTTAGATAAAATATTTGAAAACCCCATAAAAGCACTTAAAGGTGATATTCAATCTAATTTACACATGAGAGTTATTGGAAAACCAAACTATTTTATTTCCATAACCGGTCCATTAATTGAAGATTGTTTATGTTTAAGAATTCAAACCAAGAATTCCGATATTAAAGATTTAGCAGAAGGTCTAGCAATCGGTTGGACTGCTATAAATGAATATACTAATACGAGGTTGAAATAAAAGAGATTAATAATAAAATTATTGAATTCTTTGAACCAAATAAATTTACTTCTGAAATTCAACCTAAATTATTACACTTAAAAGATTTATCTTTACCGAGAGACTAGAAATTAGAAAATTCTAGTACTCCTAAACCTCTAAACACAATAGAGTATGTTGCTTCACGAGATAAATTATATTTTAAAATTATAGCAGTGGTAAATAGCCAAAACATTATTTTGTCATATTCTAGTCAAATAAATGACGATGATGAATAAGAAAATAATAACACACCGACAGGTATGAAAACATATCATATTCCTATTTTTCTAACCGAACCAAGTAGAAGTTATAGAAACATTAGAATTGAAGAAATAAATACATAAGCTATAATACAATAAATGAAACTTCGAAAGTAACTAATTACTTTTTTAAGATTTCAATCTAGAATATATATATTGAAATAACGTTCCAGTCTAGAGAATATAATACATATTTTTTTTTTATGTATTATTAGACACATGAGCTACAACCAATAGTTGCCGAAAAAATGCAATTTCTGTAGAAAAATGGAAACCAATGAAAAATCCAATTAGAGTTGTAGGAATAAATGGTAATAAAACAATTATTCAATATAAAGCTAGGAATATTTCAATTTACATAAACAATGTAAGATTTGTAATTCTTAAAATATTATGTTTTTTAGAAATGAATGGAGACATATTAGTAGAAAATAATTTTATATATCAACATTTACCATTTTCTATTAATAAAAATATGATAATTTTATATGCAAAAAAAACTTCTTTAAAAATATCATTAGTAGAAAATCATAAATTTATATGTTAGAAAAAATTTAATCCACCAAGAAAAGAAAATATTAAGCATCTAGAAACAAATCATTGGATGTTTAAAATATTAGAAAATAATTTTAGTCAAGAACCACTAAAATTATTAAAAAAGTCTTAGATATTATAATATAAAATTGGAAAATCCCAATAAAATTATAGGAGTAAAACCAATGATCTATACTAAAAATATATATAAATGAATTTTATATTCAAATAAAAAATTATTAGAAAAATGATTAATATAAAAAACTAATAGTCCACACTCTAGTCCATCATTTATGGTAAGAAACCATGTTGAGATTAAAAGAGGAAAAGCTAGAATGATCATAAATTATAAAAGATTAAATCAAAATATTATATTTGAAGGCTATTTTATTCTAAAAAAATATGTGTTAATTAATTAACCTAAACAAACTAGATATTTTAATAAATTTAATTGTATGTCAGGATTTTGACAAATAATGCTATGTAACGAGTCAAAACCATTCACAGCCTTTAGTGCACCCAATGAACATTATCAATGGAAGATAATGTGTTGAGTTAATCGATCGACGGAATCGGCCAAGAGGGGGTGAATTGGCAATTAAAATTTTGGTGGAAGCTTTTGCAGAAAATTGAAAGTAATTGCAAAGCGATTTAGAGTGGTTCGACTTTCTCAATCAAAGTCTATGTCCACTACCTTAGCTATCCACACTAAGGATTTTCCAACAAATTCACTAATTTGTTCTTTCTTTTGAGGCCAAAGAGATAACCTTACAACTCCCTCAAGAATATACCCAAATTCTTGAGAACACTCTTTCTCAAAGAGAAGATTACAAATTTGCAAACTTACAAGGAAATCCTCACAAGGTATATTGTTTGCACAATTCTAGAACAAAGAAAAGAACACCAAAATAAATACAATTGAGTAAAAGTAGTGTTCTTGAAAGCAAAATGAATATTGAATGAAAAATAGGCTTGAAATGCTCAAACTTGAGGTTTGATGCTTTCTCTTTGATTCTCTCTTGATTCTTGTTGATCGTTGTTTCTTGTTTTTGATCAATGGCTTCTAAGCTTGTTTAAATACACCTTCAAATGATTCTGAACGTTGGGGATGCTTAGTGGAGTCAATATAGACGTTTA